TTTTTTATAATAGTTAAGGTTGTATTTCAATAGAATAACAAATCACAGGTCAGGCTTGGACGTAATTAATTGCCTCTATCAAAATAATACGTTGTATTCTAAGTTATAATATACCTGATTACAAAAATGTTACAGATAATTTAAATACATAGTTAAAAAAGGTACTTGCATTATATAAAATGACAGAAAGTAAATACAAGTGTAATCCTTGTTTTAATTTTATTTTCATAATTTTTACCGTGCAAGTGCACACTATTTATGGTAAATATGTATTTCTTGATAATTAACGTCTTAATTTCTGAAAGCAAAAATAGTAGTTTTAGCCACGATCGTTTGTAAATGAGATCTATTGGTTAGTTTGGTTTTGGTTTTAATAGTTTAAACATAATGATTACTAATACTGAAAAATAAACGTTAAACTATAGTACTTTATATGTCTTTATTTAAAACTGCACAACATAAATGAGACAAATTTTCCTTACGTTATCCGGAATCGAATGCAGAAGAGCCGTCGGGTTCTACATGGTTGTGGACCCGTTGAGCCGAGCTTTACTGCGCACGCTCTACCTGACATCGAATGTTTACGTCTGTTACGTTAGGTTATTAGGTTAAGTAAATAAGAGATTTCTTCATTGAATTAAAAATTAATTAATCAGTTAAGTTTATACTTACCATTAATTTTATTTCAAAAGCGTATGTGAATACTCTACCTATAATTAAACTAATGCGAAATGAATATCCTATTTGTTGTCACGTAAAAGCATTTCATTGATAAATCTATAAAACAAAAATAAAAATGTATTTCTAAATTGTTACAGCTCAGGAATAGAATGGATGTATTTACAATATACAAATAAATACCGTTTTTTTTTGGTTTGCCCGCCGGCTGGAGGAATAAAAATCATCGCGAAGACACCCAGTGTTCCGAACCCTGGGTAGTGTTGAATTCTTACCAACTAAAAAACCCCCTTTTTTGTACTACGAGTTTTCGCGAGTTATCCTTTAAAACTTGTAGTCCTCTCTAAGAATTTGTCAGCTCCGGCATCCGTATGCCATAGCATCGCATTCTCTCC